AAAAATATCACCCAAAGGCATCTGACATATTCTTAAGGGTAAAATTAAAAACAGTTGAATAAACATTCTTCCCTTTTGATTACATGCTTTTTAGAGGTAGAATTTTTCTCTGGGCCAGCTATGTTATGGAAGTATAATAATTCTAACCTTCTTCCAAATCCAAGTTGTGTAGCATCTGCCATTCAGTATCTTGACATAGTCAGCACCCTGACTGCATAACATGTAAAATATTTATCTCACAGTCAAGTTATGTTTATGGCATTCCTATGGAAAACTTAGTTTTTAGACTATGACAGTCACACAACCAGTATAATGAGTAAACACAGGATTTTAGCCTTCTGGGAGAGCAGTCTAGCACATTTCACAAATCTTTCTTGAATCAAAAATCACTCTAACTGCAGGTGAAAATGCCACTGGGTTTTCAGTTATCTCAGGCAGAGTTCCATATTGCAGCAAAAAAGAGACAGATCTTTCTGGATCTATATATACACACACACACACACACACACACACACACACACACACACACATATATATATATATATATATATATACAATTCTGTCTTTGGACAATTTCCTCATAAAGCACATAAAATCCCTAGAGATGCCTTGACTAACTTAGGAAGTAACATTATGGATCTGTTTGGATGGGGACAAAGCTGCAAAAGTCACTTTTACTGGTATGAGTCTGAAGCTCAAAAACATTTCTTAGAACAAAAACTCTGTAAATAGGCAAGGGAAGCACAAGGTTTACTAAGTAGATTAGATTATCTCAATGAAGCATGCAAATACTAGCTCTGAAAGAAATACATGAGGCTAACCAATAGCCTAATTAAATAATAACTATAATCCATGGTTTTAAGTGGACAATATTTGGAGACACATTATGCTACCATCTGGAATACTTTGGAAACTCAAACTATTATATCAAGAGAAATAATTCTCAAACCTGTAGAGAAAGCTGGCACTTGAATGGATTCTGCATGCCAGAAAGCCAGAAAGCAGCCCTGCTTGTCTAAATGCTTTGTTGAATTACACAGCCTGTTTCTCCTTGCCAGTTGGTTTGCCAAGTTTTATTGAGTATTTGGGACAATTATTTTGAACTCTAGATTTTAAGGTTTTCCTATCTATATATCTGACTTTCCACGTACGTTTCAGATGTCCTCAGGTTTCAAGGAGTTTGCGATTCAAAAGACTCAGAAAGATGTGTCTCTTTTTGCTGCAATATGGAACCCTGCCCGAGATAACTGAAAACCCAGTGGCATTTTCACCTGCAGTTAGAGTGATTTCTGATTCTCAAGAAAGATTTGTGAAATGTGCTAGACTGCTCTCCCAGGAGGATAAAATCCTGTATTTACTCATTATACTGGTTGTGTGACTGTCACTTATGCTAACATAGTCTTGAAAATAGACACCAGAACATTCACAGCTTTTTGTATACTGACTTTCTTCCGCTGGGGCCTCTGTTCTCTTTTGCCTGTCTCCTTACTTTAGGAAACACTGGAAAACAACTCAGTGGAGAATTTTCTGTTTTAAGATGGTAGACTAAAAGATATTCCTACCTCCTTCTTCTCTTGAAAATTACCCAGAAACAAAGGAAAATAAAAATTGGAAACACAAATTCTATCTTTCATAAAGCCTGGAGACTTCTGAAATCCCAAACCTTAATATATGAACCCCGACAGTGCAGAGAGGAGTGTTGGTTCCTTAGCAGTGTGGGGGAAGGTGAGACTTGGAAGGAGACTGTGGTGCGAAATAGCCCTGCTTCCCTGCAGAGCGTTGGTAAGGACCCAGGAACTGAGTGCCAAAGGTGGGGGGAGTCAGGGAGCTGTGAGCCATCCGGCTGCTGCTGTTCTGAGAGCTGCTCAGGAAATGGGGTGGGGCTTGTAATCATGCAGTGTGCAGATTTTAATCAGTTACCACCACCTTCCCCTGTGCCTGGTCTCCTAGAGTCCCAAGCCCCTGTCAACTGGGTGGATAGGGCAAGGGGGGGACATGAGGACCTATCTGTATTTCTTCAAACGTCCCAATGAGCATTGTTTCAGCAGATCTCTCCAGCTACTCCCTGCTATTCCTCACAGGAGATAAGATGGTTCTTTACTGGGAAATTCAGCCACTCTAGCAAAAAGTGTAGATACGGGTATTTTGCTCTTCCTTATCCACGCACATCCTCCCCCAAAATATGGCTTGCCACCTGATCCACTCTGGCGAGACCCAACCATCCACAACTCCTACTCCCGGTCGGTCCTACCTGACCTTAGCATGCACGCACACACATATATACACCCCTTCCATTCAGCTTTTCCTTGTCTCACTCTTAAATAGGAGATCTGAGAGTTGCTGGACATTTGAGGAAATGTTTTTTGTTTTTTTTTATTACCTCCTTTTTAGAGATAGCATTTTTCTCTGGGCCAGTTATGCTACAGAAGTAACTTCAAACTTACAGGTTAGAGGAAACAAGGAAATAAGTCAGTTTTAACATGAGTTAATGTTTATATCCTCAGAGGGATGAGAAGAGATATTGTAGCCACAAAACAAAAACAGAAAGGTAATGTTTTGTAACAGGCATAGTCAGAGAACAAGAAAGACTTCAACTCTCTGGAATTAAAAATAGCTTAAAAATTTGTTTAATATGGGAGGACTGGAAAATGAAGTTGAAGAAATCCCTCTGAAAGAAAAATGAAGAGATAAAGGTGGACAAGAAGAGGAGTAAGAAACATAAGAGATCATCTAGGAAGTCCAACATCTGGATAATAGAAATTCTGCAAAGAGAAAAGAGTGAGGAAGAGATTATTAGAGAAGTAACATAAGGAAATTTCCTCAAACCAAAACACATTGGTCAGCTGGCGCAGTGGCTTGAGTCTGTAATCCCAGCACTTTGAGAGGCTGAGGCGAGCAGATCACCTTAGGTCAGGGGTTGGAGACCAGCCTGGCCAACATGGTGAAAACCTGTCTCTACTAAAAATACAAAAAAATTAATCCAGCTTTGTGGTGCAGGCCTATAATCCCAGCTACTCAGGAAGCTGAGTGAGGCAGGAGAATCGCTTGAACGTGGGAGGCGGAGGTTGCGGTGAAGCAAGATCATGCCCTTGCACTCCAGCCTTGGCAACAAGAGCAAGACTCTGTCTCAAAATAAATAAATAATTAATTAATTTAAAAAATAATAAAACACATTGGTCCCTGAATGAAAGGAATCATTAAGTATTCGGCATAATATACATCAAATTCAGAACAATACATTTTATAATGAAAGTTCAGAATATCAGGTCATAAAAGCTTTTGGAGAGATGAAATGGAGCAGATAGATACCAAGGCCTCAGACACCATATCAGAATGGCCCAGATTTCTCAAGAGCAGCACTGAAAGCCAGAAGGCAGTGGAAGAATGCCTTTAAAGTGCTAAGTGAGGAGGGTTTCTAAACTTGAATTCTAATCCCAGCCAAGCTATTTATATGAGGGCAGAAATAAAGAATCACATAAAGTAAAAAATAATAATTCCCTATGCATTTTCTCAGAAAGCTCTTGGAGTCTGTAGTTCACCAAAATGAGGGAGTAAATTAAAACAGAAAAGAAACCAGATCCAGGAACCAACAGAAGAGAGATGCAGTGATAATTCTGAAGATTCATTGAAGAGATGTCCTAACCAACACAGACACGAGCAAGAGGACTGAGGGCACAAGGAGCATCTCCAATAAAAACAAACAAACAAATGCAACAGGAGAGTATGTGTTTAGGCAATCAGAGTTCTGCAGAGAGTTTGAATAGGAATGATCTTTAGGAGCCAGAAGTGTAGATTGGTGCAAGGAAGCAGGCACCCAAAAGGATGTCTCCAGAAGAAGTTGGGAAACGATAGATCAGCTGATAGGTTTGCTCTTGTGAAAAGAGAGACTACTGTAGAATATGGAAAGATATCGGCATAAATTCAAAGTAATTAAAGAAACAGCAACAATTAAAAAGAGACGATGAGGCTATTTGTTAACTCTTAGAAAAAGATTTGTGGTGGTTTTTTTTTTTTAAAAAAAAAAAGAAAGGAAACAATAACAGTATACTGTTTGGTTCAGCAGAAAATCCATTTACACATACATAATAGTGTAAATACTGAATAGGGATTTCATACAAATTTACTATAAAACTATATGAGGTTTTCAACACATTGTGCTAGGACAATTGGATATACGCATGTAAGAGAATCAAGTTGGACCCCCTACCTAATATCACATACAAAAAAAATAAAGTTGAAATTGTTCATAGACCTAAATCTAAGTTAAGGGCTAAAATTATAAAGCTCTTGTGGATTAAGCCGAGGTTTCTAAAATACAACACCAAAAGCACAAACAAAAAAAGAAAAAATAGATCAATTGGATTACATCAAAATTTAAAAACCTCTTGTGCCTCAAGAAACAAGAAGATAACAATATTATCAGATAAATGATTTGCAAATATTTTCTTCCATTCTATAACTTGTTATTTACAGAATAAGACAATTTACAGAATGGGAAAAATATTTACAAATCATTTATCTGATAATGACTTGTAACCAGAATATATAAAGAACTCTTACAACTCGTATAACTCATAACAAAAGAAAAGTAACCCAATTTAAACATAAGTAAAGGATATGAATAGACACTTCTCCAAAGAAGACATGTGAGTGGCCAATAAGCACATGAAAAGATGTTCACTATCGTTGTCATTAAATGATGACAATTTTATTTGCAAATCAAAACCATGGTGAGATGCCACTGCATACACAATGAGAAGATTAAAATTTTAAAAAAAGACAGACAAGCACTGGCAAAGACATGGAGAAATTGGAACCTTCATTCATTGCTAGTTGGAATATAAAATGGTACAGCTGCTGTGGAAAACAGTTTGGCAGTCCCACAAAAAGCTAAACATAGTTAATGCATGACCCAGCAATTTCACTCCTAGGTATATATCCAAGAGAATAGAAAACATATGCTCACACAAAAACCTGTACACAAATGTTCATAGCTACGGGTCAATGGAAAAGAAAGAGAGTGGAATTTATTTTGGAGCAGATGAGGCTCTACCTAGCTGTGAAGAATTACATTCGAACACAAATCATCAGCAAGAAAATTAACACCAAATTTTTCCGGGAAGAAAATACAAAGAAATTAAAGTTGAAGTACTATAATTTAACGATTCAGCTGGATCAACATGAGGGATCCTATTTGTCTATTTGTAAGCACTGCAGAGCAATATATGATACTCACTGTATACAGGCAGAAAGTGAAAAATGGCAGCAGGCTCTGAAGTGTGTTGTACTCTATGTCATCCTGGCTCCTTTCGACAATGAACAGTCTGATTTGGTTCATCGAATAAGTGGTGACAAGAAATTAGAAGAAATTCCCAAATACAAGGATCTTTTAAAGCTTTTTACCACAATGGGGTTGATGGGTTGGTGCACACTTGTTGAGGACTATGGAATGGAATTAAGAAAAGGTTCCCCTGAGAGTCCTGCAACTGATGTTTTTGGTTCTACAGAGGAAGGCGAACAAAGGTGGAAAGACTTGAAGAACAGAGTTGTTGAACATAATGTTAGAATAATGGCCAAGTATTATACTCGGATAACAATGAAAAGGATGGCACAGCTTCTGGATCTATCTGTTGATGAGTCTGAAGCCTTTCTCTCAAATCTAGTGGTTAACAAAACCATCTTTGCTAAAGTAGACAGATTAGCAGGAATTATCAACTTCCAGAGACCCAAGGATCCAAATAATTTATTAAATGACTGGTCTCAGAAACTGAACTCATTCATATCTCTGGTTAACAAAACTACACATCTCATAGCCAAAGAGGAGATGATACATAATCTACAATAAAGGTCTTAATGCTTTTAGAAAACAGTTACAATTGGAAGTAATTAAAAAAAAAAAAAGACTGTTATAATAGTGTATATGTTGGGGTTTTTTCTAAGCTTCCTTGTCTTAAATTTTAAAATAGTAAATATGTTTGAGACTCCCTTTGACCTTTCAGTTCCCTGAGTTCGTTTTTAAGTTTGCATTTGCAATTGGTGCAAAAATACACATTTCTGTCGTCCGAATACACAAAAATTGTGTAATAATTTACCCAGATATGCTTTTCTATTTGAAACCTTTTTAGCTACTGTTTGTTTTCATTCAACTAACAAACATATTACAATAAAAAGCAGTATACACACACACACACACACATACACACACAAGTAAACATTTTGAATTCATGTTTGTTATCATTACAATAGTAATAATATGAGTAATTCCACTACTGCTTAAGCCTGGCCTCTAAAGCAGCAGGCAATGGTTCATCAAGAAGGCGCAATGCCAGCAAAATATCTGGGCAGTGTGCAAAGCACTTCCTGGAAGCCTTCAATGAGGGCAGGCAGGGTAGCTCTCACTTGGTTTCTCCTCACAAAGGAGAGTTTTGCAACCCCTAAGAATTTCCAAGTATTTCAAAGTCAGCTTAAGGTCTTATCCTAAGAATGGTTGGTTAACGATTGTCCAAAAGCATAACATGAAAAAGCCAGACAGGCCTGAGTTGGAAGTAGCACATGCACCCCTTGCTAGGTCACTCTGGGTAAGTCTCTTCTGACTTCTGAGCCTCCATCGCTTCATCTATAAAATGGGGGTGATAACCCTCAAACAAATGCCATGATAAATGGATGAGGTCATGTGTAAGAAAACATCTAGCACAGCACAGAAAAGTGCTTGACAAATGTCCCTTTCATTCATTCATTAGTTCTAAATGAAATGAATCATGGTTCAAAGAAAAAAACAAGATTTCCCCAAAAGGCAGATGTGATCAGTGTGATTATTCTGCTAAAGAGAAACAGAATTCTATTCCACACATTGCAAGTAACGTTCTAATCAAGGGGAAATTGCTTGACCATGATGAAACTCCATGTTTCTTAAAGTTTTTCATATAGTCAGAATAATTTATGAGAATTAATTTGTGGCAGCTCTAAAACTCTTTGAACCCCACAGTTACTATAAATATGAAGTATCATTAAAGAGAAATGCTGTCTCTTCCAATCTCTTCTCTTTGTGTTCCCTACTCCTCAGGAGGCACACATAGAATTGCACAGTGCAAAGCTCTCCTGAGGCAAGAAGACCTGGGCTCAAAGCGGGCCTCCTCTGTGTATTTACCCTGGCCACCCTTCTGAGCTCTGATTTGCTCATCTGTAACTTTGAGATAATGTATTGTTATCCCAAAAACTATGTATTACACCTTGCTGGGTTTTTTATAGTGTCAGTAAAATATTGTATGAGATAGTGTCAACCAGGTAAGAACCATTCAATATTCATTTCCTTCTTCTGACTTTTTAATAAGTACCTCAACCACCTTCCTTCCTTCTCAAAGAACCTAGAATATCTTCCACGGTATGATTTCATATTATTGTGTGCTCTTCTTGCTTCAAGGGATCTTTGATAATCTGTTCAGATAATTATTTTATCTCCAATAATTATTTAAATAACCATTCTCCCCTTCCTTCCTCTTCCATACTTCAAATACATAGAATAGCAACCATTACCTTTATACCCCCAGGAAGTCTTAATATTTTCACATGTTTACCTTAGATACATCTTTTTTAAACAGAGTTGAAGCCTTCTATCTTGAAGTTGGAATACATCATTCCCAGGTATGTTTTTCAGCTTTCATTACACATGCATGGATGTATGCACATTACATGAAATCATTTTGTGACTCTGTCATCCAGGCTGGAGCGCAGTGGTGTGATCTCAGCTCACTGCAGCCTCCACCCCTCAGGTTCAAGTGATCCTTCCACCTTAGCCTCCCAAGTCTGGAACCACAGATGTGTACCACCACACCCAGTTAAGATTTTGCATTTTTGATAGAGATGGGGTTTCACCATGTTGCCCAGACTGGTCTCAAACTCCTGAGCTCAAGCAAGTCACCTGCCTCGACCTCCCAAAGTGCTGGGATTACAGGTGTGAGCCACTGGACTTAGCCTGTTTTGCAAATTTTTTAAGTTAAAGAAAATGTGTCATATTCCATGCAACACTCTGTGACTTGTTCATGCAGCATGGTTTTTGAGATTTATCCAAGCTGATTCATTTCAGTTTCTATATAAAATTCCATTATATGAATATACAGCACTGCATTTGTCTATGCTCTCGTAATGGACATTTATGTTCACATTTTCACTATTACCAACAATCTGACAATGTGTTTAAACAATTCTCCTTATGTGTATATTCCAGCACTTCTCCAGGACAGCAGTTTGAAAACATTTTTGTCTCAGTTCCTCTTCATACTCCTGATGTTTAAGACCACATACATAAAATTTGTGTATGTGTGTTATAGCTATCAACGTTTACCATATTAGAAATTAAAACAGAGACAATTTTAAAATATATATCAATTTATTTATTTTTAAAAGCACTAATAATCCCACTATAGGTTAATTACACTAAAGCTATGTAGAGCCTTAAATTTCTAGAATATTGCCAAATTGTTCTCCAAAGTGATTGACTGAACGCATACTCCCATCAATAGTAAATAAGCATTTCTATTTCTTTACGTCTTCTTCAACACTTGGTATAGTCAGGCTTGTTAATTGTGGCCAATCTGATAGTTAGGAAAGAGTGTCTCACGATTGTTCTAATTTCTACTTCCCTATAACAACAAGGTCCTTTACTAACTCCTCTCAAATTACCAAGTTGGAACACACTCAGGACCCCGATGTAGGATAATTTACTAAATTTTGTTTTAGTGATTATTTAGAACTCAGAACACATTATTGCTACCATTAAACCTAGATACATGTCATAAATAGTGGTCACCGTTCCACACTAGCCCACAAACACTGAATTACCTTAAGATGTCGACCAGGGGTCCCCAACCCCTAACCCCCAAGCCACAGATCGATACAGACCTGTGGCCTCTTAGGAACCAGGCCACACAGCAGGAGGTGAGCCTGCACCAGCAGCATTACTGCCTAAACTCCACCTCCTGGCAGATCAGGGGCAGCATTAGATTCTACTAAGAGCACATACCCTATTGTGAACCGTGCATGTGATGGACCTGGGTTGCATGTTCCTCATAAGAATCTAACTGGCCAGGTGCAGTGACTCATGCCTATAATCTCAGCACTTTGGGAGGCTGAGGTGGGTGGATCATGAAGTCAGGAGTTTGAGACCAGCCTGGCCAATATGGTGAAGTCCCGTCTCTACTAAAAATACAAAAGTTAGCTGGGTGTGGTGGTGCACCTCTAGCCCTAGCTGCTCAGGAGGCTGAGGTAGGAGAATCTCTCGAACCTGTGAGGCAGAGGTTGCAGTGAGCTGAGATTGCACCACTGCACTCCAGCCTAGGTAGCAGAGCAAGACTCCGTCTTAAAAAATTAAAAAAAGAAATTGGCCGGGTGCAGTGGTTCACGCCTATAATCCCAGCACTTTGGAAGGCCAAGGCAGGTGGATCACCTGAGGTCAGGAGTTCAAGACCAGCCTGATCAACATAGGGAAATCCCGTCTCTACTCAAAGTACAAAAATTAGCCAGGCCTAGTGGCACAGGCCTGTAATCCCAGCTACCTAGGAGGCTGAGACAAGAGAATTGCTTGAACCTGAGAGGCAGAGGTTGCGGTGAGTCAAGATTGGGCCATTACACTCCAATCTGGGCAACAAGAGTGAAACTCTGCCTCAAAAAAAAAAAAAAAAAAAAAAAAAAAAAAAAAAGAGAAATATAACAAATGCCCTGATGTGAGGCAGAACAGTTTCATCCCGAAACCATCCTCTAGCCCCTGGAAAAACTGTCTTCCATGAAACCAGTCCCTGGTGCCTAAAAGGTTGGGGACAGCTGCCATAGAGGGTTGAAAGATTTCAAGATAGCCGTCAGAGGAGGGCTGGCCTCAAACTCAAGACTGAGACTCAGTTCCCACCCTGAATTGCCTCTCTGAGTATTACCTCTGAATCTCTTTTCTCAACTATGAAATGAGATGCAAAAATTCACTAAAACTCTGTGTGGTATATCCATGCCATGGAGCACTATGCAGCTATAAAAAATAAGGAAGATATTTAAAATGATATGGAGTCATTTCTAAGACATGTTATTAAGTAAAATAGTAATAAAAGAACAAAGGAATACATATGTTATCTTTTGTGTATGAAATGCATACAGATATTATGATGTTAGATACAGATATCTATATATCTCTATTAGCTTATTTTTGTTAAAAGAATATGTCTTTGTATAGTACAAACTTCTAGAACCACATGAATGTTTACATACTCCAAAACTGAATAAAATTAAACTAAGTCAATAAGATGAAGGAGGGGGAGTCCTAAGATGTAACACAAATAGAAACAAATGAACTTATTGGTATTTAAAATAGAGAGCATGACCACAGTAAAAGGGTGGGGAACTAACACAGATAGCTCTGTTTTTAAAAAACAAATTCACCCTGAAGAACTTGTTGAACACAGTATTGCAACTATAAGGAAAAAGCCTATTGCAAGCAAACCTTGAACTCTATTCAGTAGGGCTTGTTTTAGCAGAGTTGTAGGCTAGCGATTCTGAACAACTTGCTATGTATTGTAGGAGTGAGCAAATGAGTACATGTACTGATGATGTTGAGAAGGAACGTATGAATACGTAATGGCAAAAGGCTAAGAAGAACCCTGCGGTATTGAATTGGAATTGGCCATATTGGCATGAATTCATGGTTTTAAAATACTGTATAGATATAATTACATTTGTGAATATTTGTATGTATTCTCTAGTTTTTTTCTGCTGAAAGTTCCTAGAAACACTGACAACCAAAAGCAATGAACATGCCTAGTGCCCAGATGTTGGATTCTCTATACTGTTTCCCAGTAGAAAGAACTTCTCAAAAAAAAAAAAAAAAAAAAAAAAAAAAAAAAAAAAAAAAAAAAAAAACAAAAAAAAAAAA